CCCCCCCCCCCAGAGGAACGGGGGGGGAGCTCACCTCTTGGACCTGGCTGAGCATGGAGCAGGAAGAGGGGCCTCCTGACACAGCCAGCAGCACCTGCACACAGAGAACACAGCTCTTCATCACTATTCAATTAAACTTTATTTCTATAGCGCCACATCACAACAACAGTTGTCTCACAGCTTTCCAAACAGAGCAGGTCAGACCTACTCTGAAGTTAACTACAGAAACCCAACAATTCCCACCATGAGCAAGCACTAGGCGACACAGGCAAGGAAAAACTTCCATTTAACAGGTCCGTTAACACAATGTCCAGGAGGAAAGACACCAGCAATCCTCCTGTCTGGTGGTTGTAGGAGTAGTTTTTAATGAGCTTTTAATCAGTGATGTCTTCTCCTTCAGCAGAAGACTCTTTTCACACAGATCGCAAACGGAAATCCTTCCTGCCTGGGGCCTTAAATCTGTACAACGCCTCCCTCTGAGAGTCAAACTTAATTATTGACATTATCACCACAACTTATTTAGACCTATATATATACATATAATTATTTATGTATATATTTATCTATATTATATGTGGAATTTTGTATATACAGTGGGGGAAATAAGTATTTGACCCCTTGCTGATTTAGCAGGTTTGCCCACTTACAAAGAATGCAACGATCTATAACTTTAATAATATGTACATTCTAACAGTGAAAGACAGAATCCCAAAGAAAATTCCAGAAAATCACATCATATGAATTTATAAAAATCGATAACCATCTGATGAGGAAAAATAAGCATTCTTTGGAAGTGGGCAAACCTGCAAAATCAGCAAGGGCTCAAATACTTATTTCCCCCACTGTATATATATGTATGTATATGCCGTTGTTTTATTCAGCAACAAAAATAATTTCCCTCTGGGATTATTAAAGTATTTCTGATTCTGATTTTCTTTGAGAGTCTCTGTGCATCCTAATAATGTCTCCACACAGAAAAGCTTTGCTCTCTGTGGCCACATTCAGCTGTAAAAAAACCCTTTAATGGGCTTTTGGCCCTTTCTGGACTAAGGACCCTCTGTTACCTTCTCTCCAGGAAAGATGACTCTGGTTTTGCCCAGCATGGCTCGGAACTTGTGGACGAAGCTGTCTCTGAAGCAGTTCCTAACAAAGAGAAAGAGAAAGGCCTGTTTTCAGCTTTCCTGTGTGCATTAGGCCCCCCCTCAAATTTATTTCTGGCTGCTTTTACCTGCAGTAAGCGTCTCCAACTCTGATGACCACAGCTGCCCGCCCCTCTTTGCATTTCACACATTTCTTCGATACGCTGAAAACAAGCAGAGCACACCTCTTAAAACCACAGATGTGACACAAAAATTAACAAATTCTAGTAAAAGACACTCCAGTGACACCAACTCTCCATCAGAACATCTTAAACTCATTTGTATGTCTTCTTCTTCTCTTTTTTTATGGCGGTTGGCAAACAACTTTTAGGTGCATTACCGCCACCTTCCAGATTGGAGTATGGATTTTAAAAAATCTATCAAATTCTTCCTAACACACCGGTTTTTCTTAAAAAACTGAAAACACTCCCAAAAACCACATCCCCAGACGACCTCTGAAACAAATCCCCCATATCCAATTTTATTTTACTCCTGCCTAACTCTCTACATAACCTCTCTCTTTTTTGAGTATTCATTTGTATGTCATTTTGTGTTGTTTTATCTTCCTGCTTCAGGATGACAGATTAGCAAATTAGCAACTATGCTATAATCTGGCTCATTTACAATCTGTATGAGATTGTTCACTAATGTGCACTGTCCTGATTAAATAAATAAATAAATAAATAAATAAATAAATGTGGCCTGGTCAAAACTGTAGAGACCAAACACAAATACAATTTTTTATTTTGTGGGTGTTTATTCCCCGACTGAGCTTTATCAAGAACAGCGTTAAGATTGTTTTTTGTTTGTTGGTTTTTGTTTGTTGAGGATTTAGAACATTTTAGTTTTAATTACATGAAACCAAAATTATTAATAATGACTCAGACTGCTCAACTGTATCGAACTGAACGTTAGTCTTTAGTAAACACCAGACAACAGTAGGGGCACTCTCTTAAGTAAAGGAAATAAAAACATTTGTTGAGCCACATCACTTGTAGTCACATACATGAATAAATAAAATAAAGAAGCTGGTCCACAGTTTGTCCTGTGTCTGGGACCCCAGCCATTAAGCTGCCCACCCTGAGCCATGGTTCTGCTCCAGGTTTCTGCCTGTTAAAGGAAGTTTTTCCTTGCCTGTGTCGCCTAGTGCTTGCTCATGGTGGGAATTGTTGGGTTTCTGTAATTAACTTCAGAGTAGGTCTGACCTGCTCTGTTTGGAAAGCTGTGAGACAACAGTTGTTGTGATGTGGCGCTATTTAAATAAAATTGAATTGAATTGAATTAATTTTAATTTTGTAATGTCATTGTCTGAACGTGTGTTTGGACTGATTTTGTATTTTGTGATTTTGTGTTGTTTGGTCTTCCTGCCTCAGGACCACAGATGCAAACTAGCAACTATGCTAGAATCTGGCTCATTTACAATCTGTATGAGATTGTTCATTAATGTGCACTGTCCTGATTAAAGAAATAAAGAAAGATGCTGGTCCACAGTTTGTCCTGTGTGGGGGGAAAAGCTGACGTCACTCAGACCGTACCTGGGCACGTGAGCACGCTCGAGCTGCTGCTGGTAGTCTTCCTCCACCTGGCACATGGTCGTGGCGGGAACAGAGAGGTCCCACTGGGACTCCGGACCCTGAACGCCTCCCTCAGCCTGAGCTGGGTCTCTATTAAAGAAAAGGAAAGCAGAAGAAGTTCCTCAGGAAGAAAACAATGCTGTTTCTCGTTAGGTGTTTTGTCCCGGTACTTGTTCTGTGGTTTCTTCTTCTTCTACGGCGTGTTTTCCTGCTGCTGCTGTTTCTTCTTCTGCTATTTCGGCTGCGGACGGCCGCCAGCATAACACCACTATCGCCCCCTGGTGTTAGAACTGAAGTTCAAAGCTCAACTTAATTTGTTCAGGATGGCTTTTTGCACGTAAAACCTCTGTATACTGGGTTCTGTCACCAATGTGTTTGTCTTTGTATATTTCGACAGTTTGATCTGTTTTTATTCTGTAAAGCACTTTGGTCAGCTCCGGTTGTTGTAAAGTGCTATATAAATAAACATTGATTGATTGGTTATCAATCCCCTCGTAATAATAATACATTTTATTTAAAATGACACTTTACATGAAAAGTACGGCAAATAAAAAAATGTCTACCAAAAAGTATCCAAAGGTACAATAAACACGCTTAAACACGAAGCATATTAAAAAGCTATTTTTAAAAGATGCGTAACCAGTGATTTGAAGGTGGAAGCTGCAGGTTCAGTTCTTGGTCATTTTTATTATTTTATTATGTGAATAAAAAATATATCTTAGAATTTCTAACGGTAAGAACCATAAATGATACTAAAAAATCAAAACTTTTCTGTAATCTTGCGTGAGTGCTGTCCCGCGCATGCGCAGTGTCAGAGCCTGAGACCGGAAGTACGGCAGGCTGTTGTGTTGTTGTCTCCATAGAGATATAAACAGCATAAAAAACTGCTTTCACGTTGTTTTCGGTTACTTTTTTTCTCTTTTTAGAACCTCGTTAACGTGACAGTAGCCGTTAAAATAATTTCCCAAAAACAAAAACATTGCAATAAACATGCATTATCGTAATTGCTGCATGGCAATATAGACATTATTTCAAGAATAGTGGAATTAATCTTGCAAACACTGAATTAAACTATATACATAATATGTTCAAATAGTGTGTGTTAACCCTTATTTTATGTTAAAGTCTGGATCTGTGGTTTATGTTTTTTTCCAAATAAACGCTGTTGTCTTTGAGGAGTGAAGCAAATACCATGAGGCCAATTGTCTGGAGGAATGTTATATATTTAACAGCTTTTGGCAGCAAAAACAATGATCCTCTTTGTTTTTGTTTTTCATCCCACAGCATTTCACCAATGGCTTTGACAAGACTACTTTTATTTCACATTTCACAGAAAAAAACGCCTTATTTTGCATGGACCCTCCAGTAGGGGGAAAAAGTGCAAACTTGTGACAACTAAAAAGAGTCACTGATCAGTCTTCATCGCGTAAAAAATGTAGGGGTTCTCAAATTCAGTTTAAGTTTGTTTTTTGGTGCTTTTGTGATTAAAAAAAAGCGCATTGTCCCTGTCGCAATTTCCTTCATTGGGTGGCACCAAATGTCTCTTTTGCACAGCAAACAGGTTTATTTTCACACTGGATGAGCAAATACTGTATTTATGGATGACAATTTTCGCCATTAGTGTTGATTCCAACATCTAAAATGTTTGCTGCTCAAACAACAACAAAAAAAGAAGTGCAGAGTTGGAAGTTTTTTTTTTTCCACATATATTGTGCATAAAAACTCTGAGGCACTTTACCCGCTGAACACAAAATGCCAAAATATGAACAGATGAACAACAATAAACTGGAAAGTTACCAAAGCACCTCACATTAATGTTGACTTTAAAAATTCAAAGCCTTACAAATTTTACTTTGCTCAAAAGTTTTACATTGAAAATGGTGAAATCATCAACTTTTGTGCTTTTCGTTAATTTGAATGAACTAAGTATCATGTAGGTTAACAAGCAATTAATCTTACTAACTATGTGAAAACACCTAAATGTTATTGCACCATCAATTTCAATTCCTGTGTGTGACTTTGGTATGTCCAGCTTAGAAAAGACTAATTTTTGAAGAAATAAGACTGTTGTGGAAACCTGAGATAACTGAAAGGAGATGTATTAACAAAATGAAAATATTCTGAAACTAAAAAACTTGATCTTATCAACAAAGTAAGTTATCTAGATATCTATATGTCAGGGCCTTGTCTAATATTTTCAATATTACATCTCCTAATTGGACCCAATGCAATAACAGACATCAGTTATTTGCCTGAATTTCAAATGTCTTTGGATAAAAATGGTTTATCAATTGGTTGAATGCCCCTATGTGGTTAATTTTTATGTCTAAAGCTACTCAGACATTAAATAGACACAACATTTAACTGCAGTATTTTGGAAAGCACTCTCTAAAACATTAGAGATTAGTTTGCTTGTCCCAACTGACTCTTGCATATAAATCTCGTCACTAAATAATACACTTTTTAAATTCTCATGGGCCTCATACACATGCACACAATCACTATTATGCAATTTGACGAAAAAATAATTGTCTCAAAATATACAGAAAAAGTTTTGTTAACTTAATAAACCGAATATTCTGTCAATATATTAAACAATGTGGCTCCAGAGCAGAGTAGATGCAGAAAAAACACAGAATTGCCCTTTATGGAAGACGTGATTCACAGTTTTTTTTATATAATCTGTCCTCCTCATGTGAGAGTTATTCCCTCTGGTCATTTTTATGGTGGTGATCATGGAAAAAGGAAACCAGTCAGGGAACAGGAACGTTGTTTTTCACAGTCCGAGTCATCTCAGTCCCTTTTCCTGTAAGAGATGGAGATATTTCCTGTTTCTAAATGGAGTCTCTGGAAACAGAAAGCCAGTTCTCAGAAGTCTTTATCCCAACCAGACTGCTCATCAGGAGGATCCTCCGTTTCAGGGGGAAATACGTCGAAGTTGCTGTGATCCGTTGGTCCCTTTAGCTGCAGACACAATAAAAAAAATGACTGACATTTTTTTGTATGTTTTATGATATTAAAGACTTTAAAAGTTCCTGTACATCTAAAATTGTCAAAAGTCCCCGTTGACATTGATGAGGGTAAGTTGTGCGGAAAAATCTTGTTTTAATCTTATGTTATTTTTAAAAAAATTGAGTCATTTATGTTTATATCTTTTATTAATATTGTTCTTTATTGTTCATTGTACGTTATCACGCTGTTTCGTGTTGTTTTGACCAGTAATATAAGTTCTATGGATGTTTTTGGATGAACGTTTATGCGTTTATTTGTTTCAGGTTGGTGGGGTAGCTAAATCCCACTTAACAATGAATATTTAAATGTTTAAGGAATAGAGGGTCTTATAATATGTTGCTATGCCTTCTTCAGGTGTGTGTTTTTCTTTGTTAAATTATTAATTTGGTAAATCTAGCTCCATTCTCATGAGGATTATGTTACCATGAGAATACACTATGAAAATGGATATGAGTTAATACATTTAAGAATCAATTTATTAAAGACACTGTTTTGTGTTTTACATACATATATATATACTGTATGTATACAGTAAACAGTTCAAACACAAAAATCTTACCTGGAACAGAGAATAAAATGCAAACAATAAACTGACATGGAATCAAATTAGAAATCCTAAGAACAGGATGATAAAAAAGTGCTTAGTCCAAATAAACTACCAGCTTAGCATTCAAAAGGGTGATTAAAAAAGTGGAGAAACAATGAAACCAAAGAAACTAGCATAAAGGCGAAGTAAAGGAAAATCTAAAACATCCCAAAAAATCAGTAATCATCATCTTTTGACTGAAAAAAATTGTAGTATGAACGGGTTCTGAACTCACCTCTCTTCTCAGTGGAGACAAAAGCTGGTGAGATCTCAAACCCTTCCAGTTGAAGCCTTGGAACCATCTAGAAAAGAAAAAGCCAATCTTCTGACTCTGGTTTTACTTCTCAAAATGTAATAGAAGGATAACCCCTTTCAGATTATGGGTTTTAGATCAGATTCCGTCATATAAACCGAAATTTTTCCATAATTCATAACCTCATAGTTAGATTTTAATATCATCTGGTGAGTTTCTTCTTTTTAAACTACAGTGGCTTGAATTAACTACAGTAAAGAAGGTAAACATCAACATTTCTAGATGGATTGATAAATACAGAACACATTTGGAAGGAGGCATCCCAGTAAGGTGAGAAATTCTGTTACAAATTCTAAACATCATAGTAATTTCATGTTAATTTACATAATATTTTTCGTGAAACTCTTCAGCCATGAAGACCAATTAGTCAAAAATGATGAACAATAAAAGGCCAATACTGCTTTTTAAATAAGGAAAAGGGTATAATCAGAACTTCACTTCACTTTCACTTTCACTTTATTTTGGTAAATTTGGTAAATTGTCCACATTAAACACAAGAAACAACAAAAGAAAAAAGAAAATAACAATAGACAAACCCACACAGACTTACTTATGTTTTTTGATGTCTATGATACCGTTCTTTTTGTTTCCCAGCCTCTCCACCGGGTTTAGCCTGTCCAAAAAAAGTTAAAAAAATGCTTTTAGTGGCAAATCTTAATGTTCAAAACTAGTCGTCAAAGCATCAGTAGAGATTCTAGAGTTTATATTCACATCTCCAATATCATTTTTTAAAGCATAAAGGATTCAAACCCTTCTTCCAAAGTATACTTTAATGCTTTTATGTATGAATCATGATCATTTCAGTCAGGATTTTTGTTTATTTATTTCAGAAATACAAATTTGGCTTCAAATAAAATATTTAATCAAAAATATGTTTATTCAAAGATTCTTCCAAATGCCCAGTCAAGCGAACAGCTTTTTTTTTTAAAGATTTCTTTCTAATAAAAATACTATATGTTGCAAAGTGAACATTTTTTTACATTTTGACAGAATGCACAAACATGGAACTTTGCTTTGTTCTTTGTGCACATTTTATCTTTTTTTACATTATCGTTATTGTCATCTTCAGTGGCCTCTGTGCATTTAAAACATAAAAACCCACATATATAAACACGAGAAAAATTATTTTTAAATAGCTGTCCACTGCGGTGACCACTATACCTGAAAGGGTTAATCAGAAATAATTACGATAAATATAACAGATAATTGGCGACTTGTTCTTGTGCAGATAAACTAACTATAACTCTGTATATAAAGTAGAAACATTTACGTATGTATGTAAACATGCACTAATAAATCATCCAAATAAAGACTATGAACTATTTATCTTAAGACATAAAAAAATCTCAAATCGTAATAATTTCTTCCAACCTCAAACTTTACTAATAGCACTATAAAAATACATCTGGATACATTTGAATAGCATCATTGTATTATGTTGATCTTATTAATGATGCCACAGCCTTTTTTTTTTAAAACTTCCTGTGTAGAGAAGAATTCCCCATGTAGGTGAAAGCAATGAAGGAGAATGAAAGTGTTTGGGAGGAAAAAAGAATGTGTGTGAGAGTGAAAATATGTGTATCAGAGCAATAATGAGTCAATGTGTGGGTGTAAGAATGCATTATAACTTGCAAAGCCCATTTTTGGGTTGGGGTTGATCTGTATTTTCGTCTGAAAATACCTCAAACGTTCCGGGTGTGAATGTTTCATGTGACAGATTATATTATATTATATACATTTACAGGCACCATTTGGATAAACTAGCCGCATATTAAGGATATTTATTGTATTAAAAAATGTTAGAACTTAAGAATATAATGTACTAACGACGCTAAAGCGAGAATTAAAAGCTTTTAGCTGCTTTACCGCCAAATGCATCCTGGGAAATTTCCATCAGATTAATTTTTTTTTACTTTAATCAATAGTTTAAATTTGTTTTCTTGAACTGAGTGTTCACTCCACATACCACCACGTAAATTCATCCAGTGCTGTAACAAAATATGACGTAATAAAACCATCTATAAAGGGAAAATACGTTTAAGGGAACCTGTTTTTGTTTACATGATAAATGTAGACCTTATGTCCTTTTTGTGTAACATGCTCATGTAATAACCCAAATCCGAATTCCAGATCTCAACAACACTGTATTCACAGTTTAACAGTAAAATATGTCAAATATGTTCAATTTGAGCTTTAAAAAATATATTTATGAATAACTACGTGATTGCATTGCATTCAGTAAAAAAAAAAATTACACACCTTATCTCATAACTATGACCAAATATGTCCTAATACCGAGATTAGGAATTATGGTAATTATAATGGTAATTATGAGATCAGGAAAGGCGCCATACTGAACATTTTCTTGAAGAATCGATGAGTTAAATGACAAAACTTGACGTTTTTAAGGATGTTTACTGTTATATTTTGTTATGTGATGTTGTTACCGCGGCTTTTGCAGAACTGAAATATATTATAAAATTCAAATTAAAGCAATGAAAACAGACACAGTCTTATATCATTCAAGAATACAATGACATTAATCTGCATTAAAGTTTAGAAACTGGTTTTCTCAGTGGATTCTACACAGTATTGGACATGGACCCCTTCAAATTAATTAATATTTAATTTGTACGGAAATTTGAATACTGTAGTTGGGCCAAATATCAGTTTATTAGGTTAGTAAATCATACATATATATATATAAAACAGTGCCTAGAGTTGGAGTTGTTAGCATTTGCAGGGCAATAGTAGTTTCAGAAAGAAGGTAGAAAAACCATTTTTACCATAATTAAACTTTTGTGTACGTTCACTGATTTTTTTAAATTCAGTTTTTAGTTTTGTTTACCAATCTGAACTAATTTTTTACCCCAAACAACATACAGAACCACTGTACAGATGACAGGAAACAAAGTGAACTTTGATTGGTGAAGGCAAAAGGAAAAGATAAATGCTGGTAGCACCATTTTTACTAATTTGAAATCCAATGTCAAATTTGCATTCAATTCTTTAGATTAAAAAAAAGTCTCAAATGAATCCTGATGCAGTGCTTAAATGTAATAAATCAAACAAATGTGGGTCTAATGTGTTGTCTTTTAGCCTCAAGGAACTCACTATATGAAGTGATACTTTGTGATCTGCTCCATACCGTTAATTATAGCGTAACTAGGTTTTTATCTAATTTCAAATTAACAGTTGCAGAACTATCCCATCATATCTGTGATCCGCCATACTTGCAAAGTCTCCTGATGAGGTCGTCCGGACGCTTTCCTATTTTCTTTGGGAAATCCACCCTCTCTATCCCATGGAGAACCATGGTGTAAATCTTTATTGGGTCTGACCCTGCAAAGGGTGGGCTGAAAAAAGGAAAACAGGTTTTCACATATCCCTTTAAGTACAATCTTAACTTTTAACATGTTAACTTTATCAATAGAAAACAAGAGCAAACACTGTAATAATCGATAACCATTTATGTCATAAAACTGTACAAAAAAACTTTGGTCTCACATAAGTGTTGGGTCTTATGACCTCTTGTGCCTGAATAATATATATATACATATATAAATTACATATAGTTTCATACAGTGGGGGAAATAAGTATTTGAGCCCTTGCTGATTTTGCAGGTTTGCCCACTTACAAAGAATGCTTATTTTTCCTCATCAGATGGTTATCAATTTTTATAAATTCATATGATGTGATTTTCTGGAATTTTCTTTGGGATTCTGTCTTTCACTGTTAGAATGTACATATGATTAAAATTATATATCGTATGATTAAAGTTATAGATCGTTGCATTCTTTGTAAGTGGGATGCATAACTTCAATGCTATTGTTTTCCGTCCTTTTCTCCACAATTTTTGGCCAAAATATTCGAGGAGGAATCACAGTGGAACCAATTAAGGTCTGACTCACTTACTTTCCAGTGAGGAGTTCAAATATGAGGATTCCCAACGACCAACAATCAGCGCCAAAATCATGGCCTTTGTTCATGATGACTTCTGGGGCCACGTACTCTGGAGTCCCACAGAAGGTCCAGGTCTTTTTTCCAACGCCAATCTGCTTGGCAAATCCAAAGTCTGCCTGCAAGACATCCAAAAAATATCACATGTAAAAGAAAGGAGGCCACTATGAAATGAATCACTCTTTCTTAATCGTGCAACCTTTAGGGACACATTGGGACTCAGTGTGTTTGGTCAAGAAACTTCAGGGATTTGCAAATGGAACTTTTTTACTAAACTTAAGAAATCCAACTCAACTCAATATCAATTCAGCGTGATGGCAATTGTCATTTTGGAGCCAAATTGTAAGTTGCTTTGGATAAAAAGCGTCTTCTAAACGCACAAGATGCAAAATCCCGCTTCAGCATGGTTCAACTTTCGGTCAAACATATCTGTTATGTCCTGAGTATATGTTTTGTTTTTATAAAGAAGTTTTACAGCTTTTATAGTTTTTTATTAAGAAGAATTGAATAGAATGAGCAGAATATTCCTCAGCAGTTTTGGGGGGATCCTGTTGGAATGTGCTACAGCAGGTGGTTTTAAATTGTTATGCTCATCGGTGGTGGAACTGTTATGAAGAGCACCAAATATATGGATTATTGTCATGAGGGTAGGTTTTGGAGGGAGGACTCAGTCGCGGAAATATGGAAACAAGGGTTTATTTGAACAAAAAACACACTCAAACGGAGTGGATGCGGGCAAAGTTCAAAAACAAGGCTGAGAGAAAAACTATGGACAAAGTAACAAAGCAAAATTAACATGAATGTGAAAAAAAAAACATGGCTATGACAAAAAACGTGGCTATGGCAAAGTACAAACAAGATTAACATGGCTGTGAAAAAAAAACATGGCTATGACAAAAAAACGTGGCTATGGCAAAGTACAAACAAGATTAACATGGCTGTGGCAAAAACAAAGGCTATGGCAGTAAAGTAAACTAGGCTATGGCATGGCTGTGACAAAAATCACCTATAAATTGTATCATTAAAACAAGTAAATCTGAGGGAAAGAGTATAATTAAAGAAAAACTTACGGAAAAATGGCAACAAAGGTGGGATGAAGGAAAAACAGGTAGATGGTTTTAGAAAATTAAAAAAACAATAACAGAAAGAAGAAATGGAAGACGAAATAGAAAAGAGGAGAGGGTGATAACAAGATTAAGATTTGGACGAATTCAAAAGCATAATACCGGCAAATGTAATTATTGTGGAAAATATGAAACAGTAGAACATGTTATATTAGAATGTAATAAATATGAAAGAGAGAGAAGATATATGAGGAAAGAGTTTAAACGTATTAAGGAAAAGATTAATTTATTAGACATTTTGAGGAAGCATTCGGAGAGTAAACATATACAAATAGTTATTCAATATTTAAAGAAAACTAAATTATATCATAGAATTTGATTTATAGAAGGAGTGAATTATATAAATGAGTAGAATATTAAGGTACATATAGATAGATAGATAGATATAGATAGTTTGATATATATATATATATATATATATATATATATATATATATAGAGAGAGAGAGATATATATATATATATATATAGATAGATAAATAGACCATTAAGAACCACACTCCATACCAGTAAGTGGCGGTAATGCTACTTAAAGTTTGTTGCCAACCGCCATAAAACTCCACAAGAAGAAGAAGAAGAAGGTGAAGAAAAGGTAAAACAGAAATGGTAAAAACAGAAATGGAAAAAAAAAAAGATACATTTGTTTGAACAATTGGACAACACTGACATCATGACTTACCATTTTGACATAACCCTCTGCGTCTAGCAGAAGGTTTTCAGGCTTCAGGTCTCTGTAGACGGTGCCCATTGTGTGGAGATAATCAAAAGCCTCCAGGACGCAACCAATGCAGAACCTGGCCGTGGGTTCCTCGAAGTAAACCCTAGTACATCAGCATAAACCTTCAATGTTATAAACTTTTACCGTTTGCAGTAAACAGAAACAGAGCTTTTCATGTTGTTTGTCAGATGGGCTTCCATACTCTAAGTTCTGAAATCTATAACTGGCATTATTTGTTGGCGCTTTAATAAGTTTTATTAATGTATAATTGTGGAGTGTGTGCTTTTTAGAGTTGTCGGTTTCAGAATATCTACAGAAGCAGTTGTTAAATGTAATACTGTATTTTCCACGCTATACCGGATTATAAGGCGCACCACATTATAAGCCGCATAGAATAGAAGTAGTGGCTGGGGTTGGTTCTGCATCCACTAGATGTAAAAAAAAAACAGTCAGATAAGCGAGTCAAACTTTATTAATAGAACACAAACCAGCGTTCTGATGACTCCGCTCATTATTCATTATTTTTCCCGAGCTAATGTCAGTGATGTTGTGTTTTTGCGACAGTTTATCTTTTAACAACGACAATGTATAATAGGTATTGCAACATTTTTATCCCGTAGTGGAGGGGAAATTTTCCTCGATTCAGTAAACAAGTAAAAGAAAGTTCTGGCTCAATCTTGATCCATATATAAGGCGCACTGGATTATAAGGTGTACTTTTAGGTGCGCCTTATAGTGTGGAAAATACAGTACTCATACAATTAATTGGTCTACTGTTTTTGGTGGCCTGAAAAAAACATGTATTATAGGCCGGAGTGAAAAAATATAGCGTCTTAGAGTCTTGAATTTACGGTAATAAACAAATATCTGCTTACATGTCACGCAACACCGTCCAGAGCTCTCCACCAAGGCAAACTTCCAGGAGCATGTACACGTATTTGTTGTCCCGAAAAGTTCGAAACAACCTGCAATAAACACACAGACATCTGAACAACTGTGTACCAAAAGCACAAATGGAAGTGTGTAAAGGACCCACAAAAACGACAACCATTTGAGTAAAAAACATGGAATAAACACAGCAGTGCACAGTAAACACTCTCACACCAAGTTTTAAAGACAATAATGAGAAATTAACGCTATGTCTTATATTCTATGTATTAACCCACGAATATCAAATATATCAAGAAAAGAAAAAAAAGTCTTGCGATATATGACTAGATTTCAGGTTTTGGTTGAACTTTTCTCTTTGAATGAATGCTTACATAAGGCCTTTGCTCTTTAAAACCAAAGTCAAGATAAATCTCAATGGAGAGGTGCGATCTGGGTCAATAGCATTCTCCCACAATGTTCCTTGGAAACCCCACTGAGACACCACTGACCTTATCCTCCTCAGAGAATGCAAGAGGCTCAAGATATTTAACTTGTGATAAATCAACTCAATCTTTTGGCTGTGTCTCGTGATCACATCAGATTTGCTTCGCACCTGATGATAAATGCCGAGTTTGTTTGCTGAAGGATGTTTTTCTCCGAGTAAATGTGTTCCTGTTGCCTGGTGTCAACAACGTGCTTCTTTTTAATGCATTTCAGAGCAAATGTCATGTTTTCATCCTTCAGCTTCACCTAAGAAAAAAGGAGAGGGACTAATAGACTAATAGAACAAAGCAAGACAGCAACAATCACAGAATAAACCTCTTGCAATGAACTA